AAAACCAGGGCTGATCTGGGGGTCCTGTGGATAGGTAACTGCTCTATATTCCTTATCATTAAAACTTTAACTTAGAGAATTTTCTGAAACTTCTCCCCTTTTTCCCCCACCATCCAGTTGGGATGTACTTCCAAACTCCCTTCCAAAGGTTTTTGCCAGGAATCCCCATGTAGTTTCAGAAGAAAAGGTTTCTAATGACCCTGATGGGAGCACCAAGCAAACAAAACCATTCCCACCCCAGGTCACCAATTTCAGCCACAGTGCAATGCATTCCTGTTCCAGGTAGTGCCTTTCCCATTGGCCGTTGTAATCTCTCGTCTTTTAACTTTTCAACTTTATGAATAATGAAACGTTCAGTGAGCCTGTCGGGCAACGACTGACCTAGTGATCCAGTCTGGGGTTACAGCTGCTGTTACTGTTGGAGACATTGGGAAGGCTTCTCCACCCTGCTCCCTCAGGAACGGTCAACACGCATAGCGATTCAGGGTTAGGTACAAAATGATACACGTAAGTGACAAGCAGCACATTATCTCAAGTATTTTGACTGCAAGGAACCAAACCTTTACAATAAATTACATTAGGAGATGTACAGCACGTTCCTTATGCTGTAAAATCTGTAAAATACAGATTTGCAGAACTTTACATTCAGAATACTTAGGGTATATACACAAATACAATAGCCACCACAAAAAATAAGAACTTCTTGATGCTGAAGTCTGTGCGGAATACAGAAAACATCTGAAATTATAGGACCAGATTGGCAAATAACATAAAACTTAATATTAGCACAACTTAAGAAAAAAATGAGGTGCTTGGCAGGGATACCAGGCTCTCATAAACTGTGTTTTCATGCCATCAACTGATCACGTTGGACACTACTGAATAAAGAACACAGCTCCACATGTCACCATCATGCTGCCAAAGGGAATCAGTATATTTCATTAATTGGGAGTAGAAAGTTTGCCTGACATTTAAAATAATGTGAGAGAAAGAGGTTGCTGTTGAGTTAAGCTTTCCCATTCATAGCCTGAAAGTCTTCTCATTCATTAGGCAGAGCTATTTTAGACAAACCCACGCGTTGTCGGCAACAATATATAGATGCAAAATTTCTGAGGTGGGCCTTAGAAATGTTTAGGAATTCCCAAACTGAAAAACGCTGAAAAAGCTTACTCTTGGTCACCAAAATTACCTGAATTTCCTCTGATGAGGACTCTTTCTGGTTTAAACAAGTGTTTTGCTATTTATTGTTGTATTCTTCTTGGTTTTCTATTATCTCATGGATTTTTTGTGTTGGTTCTATTAAAATTTCCTCTGTTTTGCTAGAGTACATGTTTCAAACTTTAAGATGTTACAATTGGGACATCAGGTAAGCCTTTCCGAAGTGGAGTTAGTGCCCGTACGCAGAAGGCTGTACCAAAGCTTCGAGTCCTGCCTGAAGGCTGTCGTACGTGGCAAAGAGATGGAAGCGAGTTCTGGTTCCACACCCAAGCACAGTCATTGCTGCTCCAAGCAGCTCCCCATCGCATCATTTACAACCCATGGACACGCGTATGCCCTTCCTACAGCCACAGTTCCACAGGCAACCCCGGTACACAGTCGCCTTGGGTTTATCTCTCTGGAGACACGTACGTCAGCTTCAAACAAGTGACAATACTTCTAATAGCTCAGAATGCCTTTTAAAGATGTTAAACTTTGAGCCAACTTTTAAACACCTCACGTTTTTAAATTGAAAAGACCACTGGTAGATACTTTTTTGACACCAGTTTAAAAATTTTGAAATACAGATATGCATATATAAACACATGCATGTATATGTATTTTGCATTTGCAGTTTAAGCATTCCCACCTGTCAAGCATCTTGAATGAAAGCAGTGTGGGTTTTTCCTGGTGCTGTTTTTCTTTCTGTGTACCAAGAAAAGCTAATTCACTGAGCCCCACCTGTGGCCCTCAGTCCTTTTTCACGTCAATAAAACTGTATTTGGCAGTTCTCAAACATCCAGTGACAGTAGAATTGCATTTTTTATCTTCTATTCTTCATATTTTATAGAAATCAGAATGCCACGGATTATTGTCTGTTATAGTATTACATAAAATTTATTTAACCTGAAATCAAAATGACAATCAACAAAGACAACCTATCCCTGCTGAAAAGCAGCACAACTACTAAACCTGCAGGAGGCATGAGTTGGCTGAAGGGGAAGCAGCAGCGGAGAAGGAATTCTGTTAATGGAAGGAAGAGTGAAAAACAGAGAACAAAGCTCAGGAAGGTCTTATAGAAGATTCATGGAGAAAATATATAAAATTAAGAAAAAAAATAATCTTATACTGCTTCTTTGTTTAACTGTTGCTGAACATACAGCACGTGGGACACACTGCTGCCTGACTTAACTACGGAAAATTGGTAGCAGCTGTACTTTAGCAGGGTTTAAAGTAACTACTTCCTGACTTGCATTCTTTGTAAAATATCTCCATACACAACCTAGCTTAATGTATTCTCCAACAGATACAGCATATCAAGTCAAGCAACCTGAAAGTGTTTATTTTAATTTACCACAAACGCATTAAAAGTAAGCCACCATTTGTTATTCTTGTCAGTTCTTTATTGGTTTTCATCCTAAAGACTAGCACATTTACAGCATAGATGGATTGGATGAACTAGAATATATAAAACAGTAGCCATATGTTTATGATATATTAATACTGCCCAAGACCAAATAAATAAAAATATTTAAATGCACAAAGCTTGGCAAATACAGTTGTGTTGGGACAAAACAGTGTTGTATTATACAGTAATTTTACATGTATAAATGAAACAAAAGGCAACTGTGCTGTAGGTACTTTCACAGAACATACACAGAACATACTTGGCAACAGTTTTCTTTTTTTACCTTTGTATGTTTTATAATTTAAAAAATGTACTCAAAAAAGAACATTAGACAGAACTTCATTTTACAGTAATCCTTAAATTCGCCTCTCCTGTGCAACAGAAAAGCTTACTCCACCCTTGTGAAGCGTCCTATGTGGATTTCAAGTTTCACAGTTTTTCTTTTTTGATGAACTCCTCGAGATCTTACTGTTCATTACGCCCTTTAAACAAGCCCGCCGATGTGCATGTACTGACAATGGCGTATACATAAAATGTTAGCTGGACAACAATGTTTTACATGTAAGCATACTGAAATCAGAGTATTTTAAACAAAATAACGCAGTACTTGAAACCAGTATTCCACCACTTTAAAAAGGTGAGCAAAAACCATGCACATACAAAATTGGCAACTTTTTCTGATTACATTGGTATACAAAATAAATAAAGGATCGTTAAGCTGTAGAGTAGATCTAATGATTGTTGGCCACAGTCTAAGAGAGTGGCTCTGCTCGTTGTTACAATAGACCTCTTGTTATTTTCTTCTGAAGCTGAACATTGGAATATTTTTAGTGTAACAATACAGGACTTAAAATATAATTAACTATGTTTGAAATATACAAAATAAAATTATCAACTCATAAAAACTAAGGGATCTAAAGAGTATAATTTATACAAAAATAAATGTAGCATTTAATAATGGGCCAGGGACTGAAGGTTGAGCAGAACTAATGGAATAACATGTCTCATGAGATCCCATTGAAAAGTTTTTCACCATATATTTGTTTACATATTAGCAAAAATTAAAATAAAATCAACACTTATTTATTAATTAGCGAACAGGGTTTGTAACATTTCCAAGGGACTGTTCTACTGTAGATGATTTGTTCAGACCTGGAATAGGTACTAGAATACACTGAATTTGCACAGAATTCAGTGTCTTGCTATCCTAGAGAGACTGAAATAATGGTAACAACCGAGTTCAGCAAAACTCTCTGACCTGGCTTTGTGACATGCTGCTCAGTGTTAAACTGCAAAAAGCAAAATGCAAAAACTGCTAGACCTGGAACCCCCAAACCTACATGGGAGCAGAATGAACATGACTGATTGATAGAGCAGTGACAGCACAGACAAACATCAGTGAGAGGGAGAAAGAAATCAGAAAACAGCCATATACTTACCTGGCTGTTGCTACTCTCCCAAGAATAAATGGGCAGATTTTTCTATGCTAAAACTTACATCCTTAGAAACCAAGAAGGAAAGGGCACAGTGTGCTGAACAAAGCTAGCTAGAGATGACTTAATCCTGTTAAAATTTGGAAATTAATGTTTAGCTGCTTTTTAAAAAGCTATCTTAGCTTCAAAGGCATTCTTTGGGAGATTATTTCTAAGGAGATCTCTTGAACATTTTTTATCAAATGCTATCGAAATGATCCCTGTAGTCATAAGCAAGAACACATCTGCGATTCTCACTCATTAGCAGTAGCACATGAGCAGTTCCTTTCTATAAACATGGGGCACCGCTACCTTCCTCAGAAATAGCCTGAAAACAGTCATACTTCCCCCCCCCCAGGATCTGAACACCTGCCCAGGTAAAACGCAAAGGTAAAAAGAAACCAGTTTTGGTTATGGAGTAAAAGGGATGCATTGGGCACTTTGAGCATTTTTGTATTGACATATAAAATTGATATGGGAAAAAAAAAATCAAACACCGATCAAAAAAATGTAACCCCCCGAGATACTAATGCTTACAATCCAGAAGTGATATAAAAAGCCATGGGTAAAAATGTGTTAATTAATATACAATACCATGGAACATACCAAACATGTCATGTGCAACATTAGCAACTTGCTTGTTGCACTTGCCTTACGGTGGGGAAGGGCAGGAGGAATTGTTGCTGGCATTAATGGTTAAGCATCATCACGTTTCTGAAACACTTTTCAAAATCAGTTGTGTGCCCAAGTCCTTATCTGCCGAAAACGACAGGAATTTGTTTTATTTGGACAGAGCTAGAAACTAGACCTTGTATGCCTAGCCTTTTATGTATTGTTAATTTCATATATGAAGATGGCATCCTATATACAGTAAAACAATTTATACTCCTGGCTTTTGTTGTGCTGATTTTTTTTTTTAATTTAAACTTCTGTTTCTTGATTGTAACAATGCATTCTACAGTTATTAAGACTGCCTAGGATCCAATCCCTTTTTATTTACAACTTTTGAGTTTTACTCTCAGTTTTAAAAAGTTTACGAAAAGCTCAATCTCAAGTCAACTCAGTATAAAAAGATGTTATGTGAAACAGCTGCCTAAATGCCTTTCCTAGAGTCCTTGCCCATCCAGGAGATACCTAGCTATTTGCATATAGGTAATTATTAAGTAGCACAATATCTGTTCGTCTTACATACACTGAAGGCTATTTAAACGGGCAGAGAGTCATCACACTATTCTCAAGCTAAGGTGTCAGAATAATTGTTACTATAGATTCCAATTCTGTAAGTAACATGCTCTGTATAACCTAGTGAAACGTACAAAAAGGTTATTTGTCTCTTCTGGATGACAAAATCATATATTAATCTAGAGTGTATCCACATATTTTAATGGAACAGAGGTTAAAGGACATAGTATGCTTATGTTTCAACTTTTCCATAAGTTCCTTCTGGAGGCCTGTAATACTTTGGGAAAGCCTTCAGCTGCAGGGAATTAAATGCATACTTGCGACATCCAACATTCTTCATTGTATTTTCTCGCCGACAACCCTCACTGGGGAAAAAAAACAAGCACAAAAAATGACAGCAGTAAAAAGGAAAAAAAAAAAAGACTTAAACTAAGATGAAATGGTTATTTTATAGCATTAACAAAAAGTTGGTTATATTTAATGAGCGTTTAATTAATTTGCCACTGCAAATATTAAAAATGATGACTCATCATACAATGCTAGTAAGAAGCACACAGAATGGATACATGCTATGTCTGATTGCTAGTTTTGCATTTCTAAAAAGCAGCAGCGCATCTACTGAAAAAGTTCTTTCACGATGGTTTCATGTATTTCAGGGTAGACTGTTGGGGAGTTCACATGCCGCTTCACTGCACAAGGGATCCCCAGAGATTGCTTACAAGCAGTTCTGCTAATATATTAGTATATTAAGCTGAAAAAGAAAAACTGCTGTTCTCTCAGTAAGAGCTTTAAAGTAATTTTATTGTTCCCTGTATGTCAGTATTATCAGTACGTACTTAAAGATTAGAGCTGATACAAAAATAATGACTTTCCAGTTATCTCTGCATGCATAAATTGACTTGAAAACCAACATAGTCTAAAAAAAAATTCTTAATCATGAAATGGCAGCTTTGTGCAGGTGCAAAAAAGATTGACTGCATTGACAGTCATCACCCCAATGAAACAAAGCTGTGCAGAATTTAATTTTCACCCAGCGTTTTGGTGCAACTGCCCCACATTACAAAGAAGTTCTGTGCTACAATAAAAAACTACTCCAGTTATAAGGCTTCTTCACACCTGTAAATCTGCTTCAGAGTTCCTTTGATTATATCCAAAACCAGATGTACAAAGAGGAAGCACTATCTTTTAAATATATATTATAAATCAATTTAGGCTTGCAGGAGAATGTCTTTCCCTGATAGAGAAGTGAAACCTCAACAATGAATACTGGATCTTCATGGCAAAGTGTACAGTACACCATCCTACCATGGAAATGTCATGTTACTCCTGTCTTCTGGGAGATGGCTGCAGCATCTACCAGGTAAACTGTAGTCATCGGATTCAGGAGGAGGGTTTGGGTTCTGGTTCAGTTTGAAAGCTCTCTTGCTCTTACTGACCTCACCATTCTTCTAATTTTGGTTAATTAAACTGACTGTAACTGTGTTCTCTATGTACCACCTAGTTTGACTTCATAAAACATTGTAACTTTTTGCTTTACGAAACAGTTTAAGCAAGTTTGAAATTTGTCTCCGGAGCATGTTCTGTGCCTGCCTTTTATAGAGTGGATCGTACGTGATGACAATGCTGTTGCAGACAAATAGATTCATCAAAAATTTGCACAAATTATAGTACAGAGTACTAATAAAACCAGTAAGTTTAACTGGCAAATATGGGATGCCGGATGAGCATTTTCACTCCAAAGTGAAATAATCATTCTGTTCATAATTCATTCCACTGCCTCTGAAAATTCATTACACATGTCCCTCTATGGCACAGGTGGGCCACAGAGATGGTGACAAAGATGTATTTCACACACCATTTCATGTGCCATCTTTCTTCTGCTGGAGGCACATAAACAGTATGCACTACAGCATTTTAAATCTGAATGCCCTAACAAAAGCACAGACCAAGCTAAAAGAGATGAAAACTTGTCCCCACCAAAGCTGAAGAAAAAAAGAAAAAAAATCTACATTGTTTTCAAAAAGCCTAGGCTTTCATTCTAGATGAATTTAAGGGTGGTTTTACTGCAACCCTAATGATAGTCATGAGCAAAGCCTTCATACTTCATTTAAACAGATTAATAATCTCAGGGAGTTCAGCAGAGATACGCCTACTAAAGTTCCTTTCACATCTTGTTAGACTGAACCCAGGACACTCGTCAGATTGCAAGAACAAGGCCACAGTCCAACCTGACATTTGTTCACTTTGTAAAAAGGTAGATTTTGGCACCCGTAGCAAATGAACTAGTGTTAATCAGAAAGAAGAGATGATTTGTATGGAGACACAGTGGCACTGGATATCAGCACAGGACATGGGTATGTCCAATACCATCATACCATGATTTTAAATCTCATCAGCAGTTAAGGATTTACCTAAATTCATTGCAACTAAAAATAAATAGGGTACATGCTTAAATATATATATATGTCTTTCTGTTGTGGGTGTTGTTTTTTTTCTAAAAAATAAAAAATTGGAAGAATAGTGAGGAAAAATACCAGGAGATAGTGTACTGTACAGTCTGATTTCATGAAGACACAAATATATCCACATACTTTTTTTTTTTAGTTAGAATATTCATCAAATTTAGGATTTTATTCTAATTTTTATTCTAACTGTGCTTTTTTCTTTTTTTTTAAGCTTACCTCTCTCAGAAGCTTTCAAATTCCATTAAAATTGATAATAAAATCTATAGCTACCTATGTTTTTTGAGTGAGTTAGTAATAGTAGAAAATAGAAATCACAGTACTAGAAGAATTCTCCTCAGAATCCCAATTTTCTGTCATCTCAGGCACCAAGCGAAGTAAATACCTTCATGAACTTAGCAAACTACATTAAATGAGGTTACGTTTTTTGATCAGCTATTGCTATTGACAAGCTCTGCCAGACCACTGCATCAACAAAATCCTTCAGTTTAAATATCCTCTCCCAGTTTGATGTTATATATAAATTATGATCAAATTTCATCTGCAATTATTCTGCATGACTAAACTAGGTAAGCTGCTTTAGTCTCACCGCTTAAAGAAATGTTAACTTACCATCATTCGTTTATCTCTAAGTCACTATCAACATCCTAATTTATTAAAGCTGTCCAACACTTAAAAATGGAAATAACAGTAATATTTAGTCTAGTGTAATTAAAACAAAGCCCAATGAAAAACCTCAAACCCACCTACTAAAGGAGCTAACTGATACCTCCCTCTTCTTGCCTGAAATATCAGAGACCACTATCTAACTTCTACGATGATAAAGGCCCTGTTTCAGAACAAGTCCTGTAACAGAACACCTGAAACAGATAATGGCTCATTAGCAGGCTAATGCCAATTACCTCCTCCTTCTAACCACAAGTCATTCTCTTTAGGTCTTTAATACATTACAAAATGCAGATCTACAAGTAAAATGAAATAATTCTGCATGCAGCACACCGCAAGTTGTTTTTTGAGTGGGTACACTAGTCTATTAGAACATACTTAACCATGAGAAAGGAACAAGACTATGGTTCTATAAACTGTTCAGTAATGTAATTTGGATATTATGCTTTGAAATTAAGGTAGAAATTTGTTTATTTCTTTAAATAAATTTCTTACAGTTTCTTATAAACCCCACCCATGTTTTTATTTTTCTCTTCATACCTCGTAAAAATGAAAGGCAAGATTAGCATACACTTTAAATATACAAAAAGATACAAATTCTTTTCAGACAGAGTTCCTTTCTCTGGAATACATGAAACAAGTAACACAAAACTATATTTGGTAAGAGACCTTCAGGCCAGCTAAAGTAACGAGGTAACAGGCCATTGTCAGACTATGTTACAAGCACTGAAAGCAGAACAATAATTTAAAGTTTCAATACAATTCTTTTTGATAAAATAATTTGATGTATATTTACAGTTTAGTACAATAGAAACGTAAAATTGTAAGGCATAATAATAATTCTTGGCAGACAATGCTATGACACATTCCTTTGTCCAGCAGGTACCAAGTGGCAATACACATTCAAGCACTTTTTTGTTTGTGTGTGTTTGTTTGTTTGTTTGTTTTTTTAACCTTATCTTCACTTGCAACGTAATCTGGCCACCAGGTATGCTATGCTCAGAAACAGCCACACAATCAGTAAATTGGGGCTGAGAGCTAATAAAGGAATAGAGTAGAGGAGGCTGGGATCTAGTCTGAAATCTCGGATGGGCACCAAGCCACTCAAGTTCTTCTGGGTGACTACCTCCCGTGTTCCAATGCTGTGAAAAGGAAGAAGGTTGGGAGGAGGGAAAAATAAAACAGAAAGGAAGACGGACATGCAAATGAATGTATAAAAAGAGATGGCAACACAAGGTCGTCAAGAAAATGAAAAAACATGGAAGAAAGCACAACAAAACCAGAAGATGAAGTAAAGCAAGAGTGGAAAAACATCTCAAAAATATGTATCAGCACAATTACAGAAATAAGG